GGATCACCTACGAGCAGCTCGCTCAGCAGTACTCTGACCTCGCCAAGAAGTACCCCATTGTCAGCATTGAGGACCCCTTCGCCGAGGACGACTGGGAGGCGTGGAGCTACTTCTACAAGACCCAGGATATCCAGATCGTTGGTGACGACTTGACCGTCACCAACCCCCTGCGCATCAAGAAGGCCATTGAGCTCAAGGCTGCCAACGCCCTTCTCCTCAAGGTCAACCAGATCGGTACCCTCACCGAGTCTATCCAGGCCGCCAAGGACTCCTACGCCGACGGCTGGGGTGTCATGGTTTCTCACCGCTCCGGTGAGACTGAGGATGTCACCATCTCCGACATTGTCGTCGGTATCCGGGCTGGCCAGATCAAGACCGGTGCCCCGGCCCGTTCCGAGCGCCTTGCCAAGCTTAACCAGATCCTCCGCATCGAGGAGGAGCTTGGCGAGAACGCCGTCTACGCCGGCGCCAACTTCCGCAAGTCTGTCAACCTGTAAAGTGGTTTAGCGATTACGAAGATGAGCTTTTGCGTTCCATGGTCCGATGGCAGTATTCTTCCCGGAAGACTCGGCAGGACTGGGGTGAAAAAATTGATGAGAAACGTCTGGCGTATAGGAAATGCGCAACGGAGGGATGAATGGGAGCATCGATGATGAAATTCGTAGCTTACCGCACTTTATCCTAAAATGAAAAAAGAACAAATATCCCCCATCACTGAGAGCTTCAGAAGGCGCCTGAGAGATAACCATATTTGCTACCGGCGAATAGACCAAAAACTTTTGCTGAAGAGCATCGACCGCCCCGCCGCGAGCGTTGGTGAGCTCCGACATAAAAAGATAGCTCCATGAGCCCCGCCAATATTGACTGCATGAAAGATAAGGTCCCTGGATGGCACTATTCGGAGCAACTTTTTGGTAGGCGTCCTCGGCCAAGAGTGACATTATGTAACACAAGCAGCTAAGCTCTGTTGCTTGATGCGGCTAGCGCGCTTTTGCCTCTGAGTCTTGACCCATCAGATTCAGAAGACGTGGGTGTAGACGTGGAGCTGAACACACACACACACACATTATACACCGCTCAGTGCCCCAGTACTACACTCAGCTTGTAGCCCAATCACTTGGATTCAGGCTGGATGCTGCAGGGTGTGCCATGCCTGGGCTGAAGAACTGCAGCAAAGAGTAGCCTCGAATTGCCTCGAACGACAAAAGTTGGCAGGCCGAGAAAGGTGAGAGGCACCGTGCACGACTTCAAACTCCCGCCCCCCCTTACTCAGTACCTAGGAGCTACAAGTTCACAGCCAGCTAGAAGGCTTGCTAGCGCGAGTGCTGGTTTATCTCAGTTTTCTTCACCCATCAATTGCAGATCCAGTTGATACTGCAGCGTACATTGCGAAGCTCAGGACAAGACAGTTCGGAAACAACCGGGCGTTTGCGCGACGCATGTGTCGTCATTCATGAGACTACACACACCAGACGAACAGAGAGGAATTCCTGAACAACTGGCGAGCCAACAATATTGCCGCGTCGCAACCTGGACACCGAGTCAGTGTGTACTACTTTCCTTCTCCTTTGTCCTTCTCTTCTGCAATGGTCTGGCGTATTTCCCCTCCGCTGCTTCTGCGGCTCTCTTCATTACTATACGCAGTATGTCCCGTACTAGACGCGGCTGATGCTTCGCATGCTGCGTGCCGCCGCTGCCGCTTCATGAATGCTAGTTTTGGCTTAGTATCACATTCCATAACTTGACGCGCGGGCAATGCTTTCTTTGCCTTAGTTACCCCAGACCACCTTGTCGGGCTCAGGCTCGCATTGAAAGCAGATGCGCTTCTACTGTTAGCGTCCCCATGCACCGTGGAGCCAAGAGCCGTGTCGTCCCCTGTCCTACTCCATCCGCATCCTATCTAATATCTACCTTACCGATATCTGCGTCATCTCTGCTATCTGTGAGGCACCGACATTTGTTGTCTCTTGCGGTCACCCTGCTACCAACTCCCCACCGCCACTCTAGGATTTGTTGTTGTTGGTGTTGCAACTTCCTGGCTGTAACTGACTCCCCGGCTATCTAGTATAACAACTTGAGCAACCCAATCGGATTGTGACGGGCGAGAGCGTGGGGGCAGCCCCTAACTTGCCACTCTCCACGTGGGTGTCTCGCGCCGTCTTCTCACCATCACCGCCGATTTCTTCCGCCAAACATCCCATAGCTCGCTCACTTGTTACGTACGACTTAGCTCTGTCTACACGTTAAATGTCCTGTCGACCCTAGCTCCAGCCCTATGCCACATCGCCGTCGCCTACGCTGCATTCTGTACCACCACGAAGGGAAGTTCGATACAGTCCGGCCATACTATGTCGGAGCGCACCCGACGGGCACGCCTCCAGCTTCCGGAAGAACGGCCGCTGCTGCAACGGAACCGTGCCAGTCACACCTCTGAGATTCAAGTTCCTCTCTATGGCTGCATGGTCAATCCTCACAGTCACTTACCAGTATACACGAATATTCACCGTATACGACGAGACATTATCTCCATTGTTGAAGACTATTTGAGTTTGGAGCAACTTCGTGATGTGCGTATCAACATCGCCGTCGTCCGCCCGCTTGTCGACAAATTGTATGAGCTCGACGACATCTCCATAGGTATGTTCAAAGTCCTCCGTCTCTCACCTCGATCCTCAATCTCGCAGAAACCGAGATTGATTTGGAATATTCGGGGTGGTGTTTGTTGCAAATAACCTGATAGTCACAAGTTTATTGCCTGCTCGTAAACCGCGCTCAGTTTTTATATGAGCAATCTCATTTGAACAATCGGCAAAATGTCAACTACAGCCGCGCAGCTCTCTGCGAGCTGGTGGCAACGCGGATATTGAGGCGCTTCAGTGAAGACAACGAAGGGCCTGAAGGCTTGGTGCTGCTAGCACACATCCTGGTTGCCGGCTTTGAGCCCTTTCAGATGGCACCGGCCGGGATTCGTGAGGCAGCTTCAACGGAGTCCTATCGCAGTTACAACCGCATGCTTCCTTCGCTCGAAGTTGCTATCTTGACTGAGAGTAAATACTTTCTAAGTGCTACTCCTTGCCAGAAAGTGTAGGTTTTTGCCTTTCGGGTTAGAGCTTTGAGCAGATACTAACGATGGACTCAAGCGTCGATGCCATCTACGAAGGCCGTATTGTCTACACTCCTTCGAGCTTTATGGACATTATTCCGGACCACTACAAACTCAAGCCTATCTCACTTTACAACCCGCGCGAAGGGCCACTGCTGGACCAATATCGACTACTTGTACCTCGTACCAGAAACATTCTCGAGGTCTTCCAGTTCCTGATTCTGCTGGCTCTCTATCTCTTTGTCATGGCCGAGCGAAAGCCGGAGACTTTCACCGTCTTGGAAGGCTGTTTCGCCATCTATGCCTTTGGATGGTCCCTCGATCAATTTGCTACGATTTTGGAGCATGGCTGGTAAGAAAACCCAAATCTCATCACAAACAGTAGCGTCACTCACGACAAGATAGGCACGTTTACACTCAGAATCTGTGGTCCTTCCTCGATGTTGGCTTCATTGGCATCTATATTGTATACGCGGTACTGCGCATCCATGGAGCTCGAGTTGGAGAACTTGTTCCAAAACAACAAGCTCTCGACGTCCTTGCGATGGGTGCCCCGGTGCTGGTCCCGCGTCTTGCCTTCAACTTGCTATCGGATAATCTGGTTTTCCTCTCCTTGCGGTCCATGATGTCAGACTTTGTTCTTCTCACGTTCTTGTCAGCATGGTGTTTCGGTGGCTTTCTACTGTCGCTTCTGTGGCTTGGTGAAGGTGCACATCCTCCCGTGTAAGTTGCCTCCGGAACTGGCCTACCATGTACAGCTTCTAATCCAGCAATAGTACTATTAGTAAGTGGATGCTCTGGATCTGGTTTGGTCTTGACGGGACGGGCATCAACGAATCGGTAAGAGCCCCTTCATCTTCCCCCTTTTCTATTAGATCTCGGACTGAACAGATTTTCACCAGGTGCAATTTCACCCCATCTTGGGTCCTGTCCTAATGGTCGCTTTCGCCTTCCTGGGAAATACGTTGTTCCTCACCATTCTCGTCTCCATGCTTTCCAATACATTTAGCACGATCGTCAAGAACGCGACTGCAGAGATAATGTTCCGCAAAGCCGTCTTGACACTAGAAGGAGTCAAGGGCGATGCCATTTTTGCTTACCAGCCCCCCTTCAACATCCTGGCCGTCTTCGTCCTTATTCCGCTCAAATTCATCCTCACCCCGCGATGGTTCCATAAGATACATGTAGCTAGCGTTCGGCTAGTCAACCTTCCGCTCCTACTGATCATCGCGGTGGCAGAACGCAGAATCCTCTGGCCAGCGCCGCAGCCGGAGAAGAAACAGTCGAGCAGCCTGACGCTGTACCCGAGGGTCAAGCAATGGTTCTGGGAGAAGTGGCGCATAACGGCCCACCGCGACATAAGAGCCGTGTTTGACCTGCCGCCGCCCGAGTCCGTCGAGGAAGAGATTGCGGTGGACGACGAGCTCACGCACCACCTCATCCGGCGACAATTCACTCGGTCCATTACGAATGATACCATGCGGAAGAAGTCGCCTCTTAGGAGAGATTCGATGTTCCCGGGCGTGTCGTCCAAGTTGCGTGGGTCCTTTACGGGAAGCGAGGATATGCAAGACGTCGGCAGCAGGCTGGATTCTCTCGAGCAAACGTCCCTGAGAATCGAGGCCTTGCTGGCGCGCATGCTGGACGCCGAAGATTATTCTGACCGAGGCTTCGGTACTGGGGAGAGCAGCACCCTTCGTGATGGGGAAGCGCCTCTGACCCAGTCACCGAGTTAGCCACGTAATTGTGCTGTGTATACTGGCAGACGCGGGGATGCAAAGGTCTAGCGTGTGGTGGTATTGTTGATGATGTAAGTAGAAAGCATGCCTAAAAGTATGAAATCGAGTATCTTCAAGGGCAGCGCTGCTCATAAGTGAATAAGTTATTGGGGATGTTTCGTGTCTGCAATCTGAAGTAGGAGGTAGCATCTACCTAGGTGGCCTACACTTACCACCCACCTTCCCAAACTTCACCTTTTGCCTACATTTTCCTACCCTTCATTCCACAGCAACCAAGACAAAGAACAGCAAAAGCAAGGCTTTTCTTCGACGCCATCGTTCCATTGCCATATCAAATCTCTACAAAGCGAAAAAGATGTGCGAAGTCTTCATCTACAAGCACGTCAAGTGCAAATGCGTCTGGGGCGAGATCGCCGTGCAATGCGGTCCCGGTATGGGCTACACGACATGCGGACAATTCGGCAGCGGCATCGCGAAGAGGCCTCTCCGGCTCCAGATGGCGGACAAGCGGTCGTGTCCGACGCACGACCTATACGGGCTCTACGACCGCAACCAGGCGCGGGTGATTAAGAAGATCACGCACGGCATCAAGATCGGAGCGGGGCCGAGTAAGCAGGACGCTGGGATCGAGGTCCCCTGCTGCGCTGTCATGTGAAGACGGTGGAAACTTACGGATATCACGAAGGCGCAAAGTACAGAGACGAAGGAGGCACGTGGGAGGGTCGATGTCTGGGTGGATGGAGTTGCCAAGCTGGGTAAGTGAAGCTGGTGACTGGGGTGGAGGCTGAGGCGCAGATGGGTTAGTGCTGGGGCTGACGTGTATTTACCCAGGGCCAAGACGCGATGACGATTCTAGCTGATGGGAGTTGAACGGGCCAGGAAGTCTCTTCTGCGTGGTTCGATTTTGACAACCGAGGAGAGAAAGTAATGGCGGGGGAAAGCGAGCAAAAGAAGAAACAACGAAGTTATGGAAGCTGGGCCGTTGGGGTTTTCGGGGTCGGGGTAGCTCTACCGAAGTCGACTGACTAGGAGCCTTCTAAAGGGGAACAATCAGCAGTAGCACAGGCTGGTATCATCTCACTACAGCGCTGCTGCGTAATGATCAGTGATCACTAAGGTAGCTAGCAGCTTTCTCATGTTGACTTGAGTCATGGAATTAACGTTTCTACCGCATAGAGAGGAGTAAAATTGCAGGTCCGAGCTGCTGAATAACCCCCTAAGAATTTATCAGTCCTCGACGAAAGAGCTGGGAAGAGGAAGCAAGGGCGACCCGAGCCGGTGAAGTCATTCATGGAACATGGATACCCGAAGCAGTGCCGGCCGGACCTGGGAACTGTTTATTTCCCCTCTTTTTGGGCTTCTTTTCAAAAAAATTACCTACCATCTCCCCACCCTTCTTTCCCCGATTCACCCCACGCTTTCCTGTCTCTCTCTCCCCATGCGGGGAAATGAGAACATCAGACGTTTCTTCCTTCACTTGCTATTGCCTTACTCAATCATTTGTGGCTACACCGTTGTCTTCATCCCCCTATCACGACGAGCTGTAAGTCATGTAAGGCATCTTGCGTGAGCCAGGAAAACCTTCCTACGATTGGTTTCTTCTCTATCTTAACACCGGTACATGTTCCCCTTTTCCAAGCCCGACATCCAACGATAATTCCTGCCCCAGTCAAGGTTCTCTCCGCTAGTGCCAATTTCTCCGCATGTCGCTGTTTAGACTCAAGATGAAAGGGGTCACATTGTCCAAGGATCCATTGAAGTCGTTCGGGAAGACGTTAGATTGGTAGTCCAACCTCGATGGTCTCCCCCAGAGCTTCCCCACACCCAAGCCATGGATGAATATGTCGGCTTTCCTTTTAGCCTGAATACCATGGTCAACCCCATCCGCTCATCACCGCTGTCGGCCGGTTGCATTGGGACCCGGGAACCCTTGGAGACTTCGGACTTGACAAGGCCTGGGTTGTGGGAAAAATAATGTTTTCCTGTTCCTGGTCCTGCGAGTCCCGCAGATCTGGGAATCCCACCCCAAGTGCACCGCTCGCGTGTCGATGAACGAACCGGCGCTTCTTCTTATAAGCTCGCGCACCCCCGATCCCACCATGTAACAGGTCTTTTGGAGCAAGTGCTTCTCTCCAACTGGTTCTTCTCGCCAGCAGCACCTCTTTCCACCGACCGCACGTCATGTGGAAGCTTCTTTTCCTTGCTTCTCTCGGCCTCGTTACCGCAGAGGACGGCCTCGACGGCTGGTTGCGTTACGCTCGCCTACCAGACTGCAAGTCTTCCGGCGTCGCCGAATCCCTTCCCTCTACCGTCATCGGCCTCAATGCGACAGAAAACGGCCCAATTGCTTCTGCCTTGTCCGAATTGACTAAGGGCTACCAAGGCATCCTCGGTAAAGACGTTTCTGTCGGCCAGGACGCCTGTGCTGCTGCTTCCGTTGTCATTGCTACTGTTGACGACTACGTTGCTGCTTGTGGAAGTGAGGGCGTTCAAGCGGACCTCATTGAGGATGGCTTCTGGCTTAGCGTCAAGGGTGATGGTGTCAAGATTCTGGGACAGAACGAGAGGGGCGCTCTCTACGGTACTTTTGAGTATCTGAGCCTGTTGGCCCAGGGCAACTTCACCGAGTTGACTTATGCGACAAACCCTTCTGCTCCTGTCAGATGGGCAAACCAATGGGACAACATGGATGGCACAGGAACTCATGGCAGCATTGAGCGTGGTGTAAGCAGTCTTCCCTCCTCCTCCTCAGACCATCATTGAGTGCGAACATGTCTGACTTGAGCAGTACGGAGGTGTTTCCATCTTCTTCGAGAACCTCAAGGTCGTCACCGACATGACCCGCGTCTCCCAGTACGGCCGTCTGCTGGCCTCCGCCAGAATCAACGGTATCATCGTCAACAACGTCAACGCCAATGCCATTCTCCTTTCCCCCGAGAACATGGACGGGTTGAAGAGGATTGCCGACGCTTTCAGGCCATGGGGTGTTCAGGTGGGCATTTCCCTCAACTTCGCCTCACCCCAGACATACGGCAACCTTTCCACTTTCGACCCCCTCGACGAGACTGTCATTGCCTGGTGGGGAAATATCACCGATGAGCTCTACGCGCGCATTCCCGATATGGCTGGATATCTGGTCAAGGCCAACTCGGAGGGTCAGCCCGGCCCCCTGACCTACAACAGGACGCTGGCAGATGGCGCCAACCTCTTCGCCAAGGAGCTCAAGAACCACGGCTCCAAGAAGGGCATCGTCATGTTCAGAGCCTTTGTCTACGACCATCTCACGCTAAACCAGTCCGACTGGCGCGCTGATCGTGCCAACGCCCAGGTCGAGTTCTTCAAGCACCTCGACGGCCAGTTTGATGACAACGTCATTGTCCAGATCAAGTACGGCGCCATTGACTTCCAGGTCCGGGAGCCCGTGTCGCCCCTGTTTGCCAACTTGAAGAACACAAGCATGGCCATCGAGTTGCAGATCTCCCAGGAGTATCTCGGCCAGCAGGATCACTTGGTCTACCTCCCTCCTCTCTGGAAGACGATCCTGGACTTTGATCTGCGCATTGATGGTCAGCCCTCTGTTGTCAGTGACATTCTTTCTGGCAAGCGCCTCAACAGGCCTCTCGGTGGCTACGCTGGTGTCATCAATGTCGGCGCGAATTCGACATGGCTTGGAAGTCATCTGGCCATGTCCAACCTCTATGCTTATGGCAGACTTGCTTGGAATCCTGCTGACGACGTTGTTGCCATTGTCCAAGACTGGACCCGTCTGACATTCGGTGTTGACCGCAAGATCGTCGACACCATTACCAAAATGTCCATGGAGAGCTGGCCCGCCTACGAGAGCTACAGCGGCAATCTGGGCATCCAGACCTTGACTGATATCCTCTACGCCCACTACGGTCCTAGGTAAGCAAGATTGCATACTCAAACTTTTGAAGTTCATGACTAACTCCAAGTTTAGCCCGCGCAGCCAAGACGGCAACAGCTGGGGTCAGTGGACTAGAGCAGACGGAGACAGCATCGGTATGGACCGTACCGTGAAGAACGGCACGCGAAACGCAGGACAATACCCTCCCGAGGTGGCGGCCATGTACGAGGAGATTGAGACGACCCCCGACGACTTGCTCCTCTGGTTCCACCACGTGCCCTACACGCACAAGCTCAAGAGCGGCAAGACGGTCATCCAGCACTTTTACGACGCGCACTACGACGGTTCGGCCACGGCGCAGACGTTCGTGCCGCAGTGGGAGTCCCTCAAGGGCCTCATCGACGAGGAGCGCTACGAGCACGTGCTGTTCAAGCTCAAGTACCAGGCCGGCCACTCGCTCGTCTGGCGCGATTCCATCAACAACTTTTACTGGAACAAGTCGAGCATCCCCGACGAGGCGGGACGCGTGGGCAACTACAAGTATCGCATCGAGGCTGAGCACATGACGCTCGACGGATACAAGGTCGTCGACGTCGACCCCTTTGAGGCGGCGTCGGGTTACAAGGCCATCGTGACGAGCTCCAACACGACGGCCGGAACGGCATCCGCCACGGTCGAGTTCGAGACCGGAACGTACACCCTCGCCGTCAACTACTTTGACGTCATTAGAGGAAAGTGCTCGTACGTCGCGTACATCAACGATGCCGTCGTCGGCCAGTGGAGGGGTAACAGCGAGGAGAGGCTGGGCCACTGGCCGTCCGAGTTCTTGGATGGCCACTCTGCCATCCGCGTCAACTTCCCTGGCGTCAAGGTGACCAAGGGCGATACGTTGAAGATTGTCGGTACCCCTGACGGGCCTGAGGTCGCTCCTTTGGACTATGTCAGCTTCTTACCTGATGGTATCATCGACTAGACTGTTGGACTTTTGAGCAAGCATACATCATTTTGTAGTTAACATTCAAGATTTATGAATTCTTCATGATTATATTTATATTTCTATTATGTGCATTTTGACGTGTCTTCTTGGTGACCGCAATCGCATTGTAATGCAGGTGGATGAATCGTGAATTTGTTCTGTGGTTGGTGTGAGTGATGTGAACCCCACAAAATTCATCCGACAAAGGTATCTTGGATTTTGACCTCATCCCCAAATTTTTCATCTAGCCATCGTCTCTTGAGGGTCAAACCAGCAGCAAGCACCCTTCACAAAGCCGAGTACCTGGCAGATATCAACGGGGCCTCAATAGCGACCTTGCATGTCAAACCCGCCTCACAGAATCAGAACCCAATACCACTTTGTAAGAATTCATCCCCTCACTCATCATCTCACTGAGACTTACACACTCCTCACAGGCCCTCACCCAACATGCTGCCCACACCGGATACCTCCCACGTCCCATTTGAGCGTGTGTATGAGCCAGCAGAGGACTCGTATCTCCTCCTAGACACCCTCTCAGCCTCATCCGAGACTTCTTTCCTCACATCACGCTTTGGCGGCGAAACATCATCATCATCATCAAGGTCAAGACCAGCAGCCCCACTGGTAGTCGAAATCGGCACCGGCTCCGGCGTCGTAATAGCCTTCCTCGCCGCCCACGCAGCAACCCTCTTCGGCACACCCACCGTCCTCACCGCAGGCATCGACCTAAACGGCCACGCCTGCCACGCCACAACCTCCACCGTCCGCCGCGCCGTCGCCGACAACCCGTCCACGGCCTCCCCTCCCTCCCTCTGGCTCGGCGCCTCCCTGGGCGACCTCACGACCCCGCTGCGTCCGGCCAGCGTCGACGTCCTCGTCTTCAATCCACCCTACGTCCCGTCCCCGGAGCTCCCCGCGCAGTCTTCAGCCACGCTCGTCGCCGACGCTGGCAGAAAGACGACGTTTGACGAGGACTCGTATCTGCTTTCACTGTCGTACGCGGGCGGGCGGGACGGTATGGAGACGACGGATCGGTTGCTTGAGGCGTTGCCTGGGGTCTTGAGCGCGAGGGGGTGCGCTTACATCCTGCTGTGTGCGCAGAACAAGCCGGACGAGGTCAAAGGTCGGATTGAAGGGTTCGGGGGCGGGTGGAGGGCTGTCACGGTTGGGGAGAGCGGGAAGAAGGCTGGGTGGGAGAAGTTGCAGATCATTAGGGTGTGGAGGGAGACAGAGACGGAGGAACACTCTACATAGAGACGTAGGACACATATAGCTCTTTCATCTTGACATCTTGTTGACCTGTGTACTTCTTCATTTAGTCGCATGATTGTGCTGGCGAGCCTCATGGCACACACCCAGTTGCGAGATCTGTAGTTTCATTTACTGGGATTGTATTCTTTTTATTTCCTAACCACCCCCAACGCCTGAATAGCATCCGGTTGGTCTTGATGTGTAGGGTTACCCGTCTTTTTTCAAGCTCGAGGCCCGGACTGTAAAATAGAAAAAAAAGTTCATCGACGGTCCGTCGTCCCTAAAGGGGTTGGGCATAAGTATTTCCCCCTATGAAGAGATTCTTCATGATTCACGAGCGCTATTTCCGTCTTTCTTTCCCTGAGGCAAGCAGGAAACCTTTCTCGGCGCCCATAAAAAATTGTCGGTGTCGACCCAGTAACAACAGGTGTCGACGGTCGGCCCTCGTCGAAAAAACAGCGCGTCTTCATTTTGTCCCATTAACCCAAGCTCAACCACGTCCACGACCGCGTCCCCGGCCACGGCCTCTTCCTCTGGGGCCGCCTCTTCCTCCGCGGACAGGGCCGCCGCGCTCCGCCTCCTTGCGCGCCTTGTTCTTGGGCTTCGGTTGGTCGTCGATGAGCAGTGTGTCGAGCGGCAGCGAGTCGGGCAGGATAAAGTATCGGATCGTCGAGCCGCGGATGTTCATGGTATCGAGCGAGACGGCGTCCTGGCCCCGCGGGGTCATCTTAACTGTGCGCAGCGCCGTGTTCATCTGCGGCGAGACCGAGGTGATGGTGCCGTGAACGATGGTGCCTGCACGCGTCAGTATTCAGTCTGACAAACGATATGCAGCGGTTTGCGCATCTTCCTAGAGCCGCGGGTCAGAATGACAAGGGTCCACTCACCATTCTTGAGCTCGATTGTCACCGTCTCATTGGCGCATTTCATCAAAAATCTAGTTGTTGGAAGTTCTGGTCAGCTTTATTTTGGTCTCGTTTTACGGCGAGCGACCTTCTGCATCTCTGAGAAGGAGGGCTCAGCACACAAATTGACGGCAGAAGGAGGGAAAGGACGATCAATTGCGCGTACCTGACGAGTTTCATTTTGGCGGCGGCGTTCGTATGTTGAGCGTGTCGTTCGTCAAATGCAAAGGCGGCTAGATGCGAGACCTCGCGACTGAGGTTGGCAGTCCTGGGTGACGGAAGGCTGAAGCTTCGGAAAAGCTGCTATCCCGTTTCTGGGAAGTGGGGCCACGCTCAAGGTGAGTCTTTAGTCTCGGTCCACGTGACTGGTAGCTTCACTCCTCATCATGTCAACTTAATGGCGGAAAGGCAAACGCAAATTACACATTAAAGGGCAGCTATCTCTAAGTCCTCTAATCAATGGATCTAGGAAAATTTCCTGTAACTAAGTCTTTTCCCAATCGCAACGCAGAGACGATATCAGCCGAGGCTCAGCACAAACCTCTCCACCATAGGCCCCCATTTCGGAAGTTCCCACTCGTGTCTAGATGCTTGAACACGAGCGCTTGCGATCTGGATATGTAGGCTGTCTATCTTTGTCGCTTCAACTTCAGTCGATCCTTCCGCGACAATCCGAACTTGGAGATGTTCTTCGAGATACGGTAAGACCTCATCGGGTTCAAGCCCTGAGATAATTCTTGCCGAAACCATATGCATCAAGGCCGATGTCAGAGGAACTGTCCCGGACACATGGTTGCCTGAACCCATGTTCTTCATCGCAAATACGCTCATGGATCCGATGAGATTCGGTGCAGATGCCCAAGAAGTGGCTTCTTCGGGGATTTCACCTAGGAAGAAGTGGATTGCAAACGAGCCATCCAACGCTCCATTCTGAACATGAACATTGGCGACCCATTCGGTGTACATGTCGTCCTCAGTCGCTACTTTGGTCTCAAGGTCAGGGTCTTGTGAAAAGTCTAGCACATGCTTCGAAGTGGTTCCCTTTCGGACTTGGGATAGCGGCCCCCCCTCTCTTTTGGACGCCACTCTCCGTTGCTTCCGGGCCAGACCTGAGGGGCTAGACGAGCCGTATAGTCTGTTGATAGTTGCTATGAGGCGAGCTTGTTCCTCAGACTTGTGAGATCCTAGACTCGGATTCGTTTCTGCGTACGAATATCCGAAGGCCGTAGTGTCTCTGGCCATCGCCGAGTTCCAAAAGGTGCCATTGGCGTCCACATAGAATGGCTTGAGTTCCGTGAGCCAATTTTGAACAGTCCCTGACGGCATGGTGAAGGAAGGCTCCATTGCGATTTGGGAAGTGACCCAGGCGGTAGGATACAGAACTTGCCACATGGCGACTATTCGTTCCACCATAGCATGGTGCAAGAAGAACACCGGATCGAATGCCGAATACTGAATGTAATACAGATGGCCGCGGTCGCCCACCAACACGTGCATTGCATCGTGCAAAGCCTCCACTGAGTCGTACTGCGTCTGATTTGACGCCGTCCCCCAAAATTTGTTACTAAAGGGCTCGAAGTCCTTGTAATTGGAAAGGAGAGTATAGAGTCGTTGCTGAAGTGCAGGTCTGGCATGCTCGATCGAGTGCGCTATGCTTTGGTTGTCCGTTGTCTCGAAGGGAGCTCTCATTGTCTCTGTCCAATGGGGAAACTTATACCATCAGGATTCTACTCTTTGATCAAGTGGGAGCCACTACTTACATCGCCTTGAGAAAAGACCTGCGGGTCCAGCGGCCGGAACTTGTAGCTGTATAATGGGTTGGCAATGGTCTGCCATCCGTTAGGGCCATACACTTGAATTGCAGGCTGCTCGAATTCGGACAAGTAGACGTTTTCTCCGAGCGGCGGCGTAGTGGCCCAGTCCCAGTATGGGATTCGGAAGTCTATCGCAGCGGCTTGGTAGTAAGCTCGTTCCGTGGGGTCCGGGAACCACGAGGCAATCAACTGCACGAGTTGAAAGAGAATTTGCTACTACGATGTTAGTGGTTTTGTGGGGGGCGTCAAGACTTCATGGGATCTGACCTCGTACAAAGCAAGATATACGCGATGCCACGATGGGAAGAGAATGGACATGTGGGTGCAGTAGCCCCTTTCTTCGCCTCCCGGTACGCCGGGCACGCCGTTCCAGGGGACGAAAGGAACGCCGTGAATACCTGCTGTATATCAGGAAAGCCAATCGACGCGATAGTGACCACTCAGTCTTACCTGCGATCTGATACCACGATAGCTGTTCGCTTTGATTCGTGAACTGAAACATGCTTGATGCGAGGAGGAAGAGATTCCACTTGAAGGGATTCTCCTTCAACTCTCTGATGTCGGGGCGGTTAGGAATAGTTCCATTTATTGAAGGCAGTTTGGTGACAATCATTGGATCCTGTGTCTGGCGCTTGACCACTTTGGCCGCTTCGAAGCCATAGTCGTAGGCCGGTGGAGAGGGTATGGCCGCTGCGGCGGTAGCGAGGAATACAAGAGATAGAAGCATGGCGCAACAAAACGCCTTTCCTGCGTCCCCTTTGTTGCAGTCGACTAGTTTAAAGCCAAGGGTATGAGAAGTTTGACAAGGACAATGGATATTGGTGTTCTCGTAGGATGGTACTGAGACGTGGTAGATGTCAGAGGGTCGAAGTATGGGCTGTCCAGGTCGATCAAAATTTCGGCACAGCCAGATTGCCTTGAATAAGGGAACCAGCCAGGTGTGACGATGACAGCAAGATGATCGTGTTCAAAATTCCGGGATTGTTCGGATGTTGATGAGTGCCGAACTCGACGTCCAGATTGTAGTGGAGATAGCCCGGCCAAAAGGAATTTTGAAAAGGGCGAACCGAACGGCATTTCTCGTGCCAATATAATGCAATTTGGTATGGAGCACACTTTAAGGTAGTCACGTAAGGCAAACAGGATGCGAGTGGCACGCCGCATAGCCGTGATTGTATGGTGCTTGCGTACTTGAGTTCCTGGTTTCCAAACGGCAGTCTCTAGATTTGGGAACAGAGTCAATTAGGAAGGTGTCGGGGCGAGGTACCTCTGCACGACGTAATCCGAATCTATTAGAGGAAAGACAGGCGTCACGATCTACCTAGGTACTGGTGAGAGAAGAAGACTGGAGCGGAAGGCACGGATTTTCGTCCTTGGTATCTTCCGGCCACAAAACGTGCCGTGCCTTCCTGATCAACTACAGTACCTTGATGTGACATGGCGTACCTTCTCTCAAAGCTCCAAGAAACATCACTATCGTACCTTGTGTAAATTGCTCTCCAATCAAGCACTGATTGAGGGATATCCCACATTGATAGCTGAGAAGCAGGGCGCGGTAATACGTCAAGCTAGGTGGAACTGTTCAGCCAGAGCAGGAGCTCTCAGAACAGATGTCTCTAGGCGAACGAAGCCTGATCGGTATGAAAATTTCACTGACTCAATCTCAACCATCTTGGTTTCCCACGGCGGCTCGTGGCATTCCTATATCAAGCCACCCTGAAGGTGAGCTATAGCAGCTTCCGTCTTACCTCAGTTTTGGAACGACTACGAGGAACCACAATAAACTACTTTGGATACCACGAGGCTTCTCGGGTACGGCATGAGTTTGGTCTGCCAAATTTGTGCTATAGTTGACGGAGGCGCAGAGAAATCTCTCAGATCTTTGCCGCCAATCGATTGTCAAACTCTGCACAAGGCGGCTGCCGACATTGTCTGTACGATGTGCGTCCAAAGGACTGTTTGTTGGTCCGGTAACCTACATGAGACAAACGGTTCAGCATCTGATTGTAACCGCTCTACACATGTTGATGTTACGCAGTCCACGCTCGCAACATCTATGCCGTTTGTCAAACCCCTTCGGAGTTCGGCTTGGAGTCTTCAACGCGAAGCTGAGACTCGATTTAGGGGTTGAATCCAAACATGGAATGTTGATAGGGAAACCCATCATTACTCGGCGAGAAGCACTCTGACCAGCACTGTGCACCTTTGTCCATTAAGAAGTCATAATGTATGTACAGGGTGGAATACATCTTTTGTCTACCGAAACGCCGTCGATCTAAGCCTC